ATGAAAAATGTATAAGTATACAAGAAACTTACAAACGCTGCAATGTTGTCTCTTGTGCCTCTGTGAGAATCTCCCATTGTGAGAAGAGCCATTGTTGAAAATTTCTGAGATTATGAAAGAGTTTGTAGCAGAGAGTGAGATGATTGTGGATGAAATAGAAGTATGTGAGGCTCTGTATTTATAGGTAAAATTTTATCACAGAGTAAGTGAGGTGGTTGGGGGGGTGCATGCATGCATGATAAGTGTCACTGTTGCAGTGTAGGTGTAGGCTAGGTGGCCGCCTTGGGGAAGGCATCTCTACATGCATGTAATATGATTGGATGTGTAGGGAGGCGCCATTGGACTTGGAGAATGAGTACAAAAATTAAATGTGTCGTCATCCCTGTTGGCGAATTAGAGGTGGCATGGGTTGTAGTGTAGGTGCAGGCTAGGTGACAGCCTTGGGGAAGGCATCTCTGCATGCATGTAATACGATTGGACGTGTAAGGAGGTGCCATTGGACTTGGCGAATGAGTACAAAATTGAAAGGTGTCGCCATCCCTGTTGGCGAATTAGAGGTGGCATGGGTTGCAATATAGGTGCAGGCTAGGTGACAGCCTTGGGGAAGGCATCTCTGCATGCATGTAATACGATTGGATGTGTAGGGAGGCGCCATTAGATTTGGCGAATGAGTACAAAAATGAAAGGTGTCGTCATCTCTGTTGGCGAATTAGAGGTTGAATGGGTTATAGTGTAGGTGCAAGCTAGGTGACAACCTTGGGGAAGTCATCTCTGCATGCATGTAATACGATTAGACGTGTAGGGAGGCACCATTGGACTTGGTTAATGAGTATAAAAATGAAAGGTGTCGCCATCTTTGTTGGAGAATTAGAGGTGGCATGGATTGCAGAGTAGGTGCAGCCTAGGTGACAGCCTTGGGGAAGGCATCTCTGCATGCATGTAATACGATTGGACATCCCAGTTGGCGAATTAGAGGTTGCTTACTGTTGTTTTATTAAAATTCAGTACAACTTATTTAATCCTACATTTATCAAAACACTTCTACACTCAATCACTCAAACACTCGAACATTCAAAAATTCAAACAATTAACTCAAAGACTCAAACAATCAAACACTCAAACCTTCAAACATTCAAACCTTCAAACAGTCAAACATAGTGGCCTCTGCACCATAATATATGATCAGTGCACATTTCAACGGTGAGACATACATTTGTCCCACCTCTGGGTTTTTATTTAGAGACACTGAGAACATTCGATTTTGTTTAAATAGGAAAGCCAATTTCTTGTATTTCAAAAAACGATTGGAGGCCAAACTTGGAGAGGTCCTATGACACAAATCTTTTATCAGAATCCGATTTTTTTTGTAACAACCAAATAGTATTTTATAAGGTTGAGGTTCAAGATGACGAGGACCTTCAGAATATGTTTTCTAGTCATAAGTATTCTGGATATGACTCTATTGAGTTGTACATTATGCTGTGAGAGCCTTAGCTGTCACAAGTGGTTGATCCTCTGGAGACCGAACAAGCAGAAGTTGATGTCATTGACGAAGAAGAAGAAGATGACGAGTTAGAGTTTGATGACATGGTCAACGATGATTCTGAAGATGATGGGATACTTGGTATACTTTCGAACGAGATCTACACACCACCTCCGCACATGACAAACTTCAACATGGGCGGAGATGAACCATCATCTGATTTATTTTTAAATTCGTATATACAGTCGGATGAAAACTTAAAAGAGAAAGACAAATTTAGTAATAGGGAAGAATGTATCTGAGCCATAAAAAAGTTTCACATGCTCAACTCAGTCGATTTTAAGGTAGATCGTATAAATTCAGAAAGGTACAAGATCAAGTGTATCCACCCATATTGTATGTTCAAGCTCACTACATCATACAGATTAAGAGATGATTGTTGGGTCATAGGTTCTATGTCCACCCACACGTGTGTCAATTCTACTCAATCACATGATCATCAGAAACAAATTATGATCTCATATGTCAAGAAATCCTACCCCTCGTCAGCAACGATCCATCATTGAAGGTGAAAACCATAATCTCTCACATCACTACGGTATATAACTATACTCCGTCATTCCGAAAGGTGTGGTTATCAAAGACCAAGGCGATTGAAAAGGTATATGAAAATTGAGAGGAGTCATACAAAGAACTTCCTCGCTACCTTAATGCACTTCAGACTTATTCTCTGGGTACTGTTTACATTATGGAAACATTATTGGCATACGCCTCAGATGGTAGTCAAATCACCGGAAATGGAATATTCAGTCGAGTGTTCTGGGCTTTTCAACCTTGCATCACAGGGTTTGCGTCATGCAAACCGATTATTCAAATTGATGGAACTTGGTTGTATGGAAAATACAAAGGCACACTACTGATGGAAGTTGCACAAGATGGCAACAACAACATTTTCCCAATTTCCTTTTCCCTAGTCGAGGGAGAGACTGGTGGTGCTTGGAGCTTCTTTCTCAAGAATCTTCGAACACACGTGGCTCCTCAACCAGATCTCTATTTGATCTCTAATAGACATGCATTTATTGAGAGTGCATACAACAATCCTGTAAACAGTTGGCATGACCCTCCTTCTACGCATGTCTATTGCATTAGACATATCGTCCAAAATTTCACGAGGGAGATCAAAGACAAAGCTCTTAGGAAAGTAATTATGAATGCAGGGTTTGCATTAACACAACCTACATTCAAATATTATCGTAACGAGATCCGATGGTCAAATCTGGACGCTGGTAGGTGGATCGATAACATTCTGGTTGAGAAATGGACTAGGTCATACGACAATGGACAACGATGGGGCCACATGACAAAAAATTTGATTGAATCCATGAACGGGGTATTCAAAGGCATACGAAACCTCACAGTAACTGCTTTGGTTAAATCAACATATTTTAGGATGGCTTCGTTGTTTTCCAAAAGAGGTGAAATATGGAATGATGTGTTGCAATCGGGACAATTATGGAGTGAAAGTTGCATGAAGTATATTAAGACAGAAAGTGTCAAAGCCAACACCCATATGGTTATGCGGTTCGACCGACACAGCCACAACTTCATTGCTAAAGAGACAATCAATCACAATGAGGGGCTGCCAAGACAAGAGTATATAGTTATACTACTTTCTCGTTGGTGCGATTGTGGAAAGTTTTAAGCCTTTTGTATGTCTTGCTCTCATGTCATTGTTGCGTGTGCCTATACTCATCAAGACGCATTACAACTGCTGCCTCCCATTTACAAGTCTGAAACCTTGCTCAACGTATACAACAATAACTTCCCTTTGGTAGCAAAACCTGATTATTGGTCTGCATATAACAGCGAAATAGTATGGCACAATGACCAAATGCGAAGGAATAAAAAGGGTCATCCCAAAAGCAAGCGCATCACAACTGAAATGGACTCCATTGACAAGCTGGAAAGAAAGTATGGTTTATGTCGTCAGGTCGGACACAATCGCAAAAATTGTCCGACTAGGGCTACTAGCTCAACCACATAAAAATTGTATTAGATAACATCTTTACTTTTTTAAGTTATAAACATTACGGTTTTTCATTAAGAGCATTTGTTACAACAAACCTTGCGCGAACAACAAATAAAACACGATAAACCGTCTACGAAATTACAACCGTTAAAACAATTTCATCTGACCCATGCATCATCATCATTACGTCGCTGTCTGTTTTGACTTCCTCCAACCAAAAATTAGGTCTTCCTGTCGCAAGTGAGGTGGTTGTTCTTCTTCGCTGGATCCTTCTAATTTGTTCCCCATCCTCGATGTCTCCCTCTAGCCATCGCATCAACTCTCTCTTCAAACGCTCCATGGAGTGAATGTGCCAAAATTTCATTTTCATCAGAGGTTTGGTGGCCGAGAAAATAACGTAACCATCTCTGGTAAAAATCATGGGCGATGTCATGATGCAAATAACAGAGAAAAAAATAAGAAGACAGTGCGAGAAAGTGTGAAGAATGACAGAGAAACGGAGGAATTATTTATAAAAAATGCATTTTGCCCTAGGAGCCAAGTGGGATGGCGCCTCCTCTCACTTTTAGAGTGCATGCGTCATCTCACTTGGCTAAAAGAGAGTGCATGCGCCAAGTGAGATGGCGCCTAGGGCAAATGGGCCAATGCATGCGCCATCTCACTTGGCTCCTCCCTTGTGGGGTTTTCTGAAACATGGTTATTTGCATAATTTTCTCCGAAACATGGTTATTTGCAACAAAAAATAATTCAATACCTGATTATTGCAAAAAAAATTGAATATGTGAAACGTGATAATCACGTCGCAACCTTGCCACGTGATTATCACGTTGCAACATCCCCAACGGTCATAAACTTCATTTATGACTCTGCACCCACTGCGCGCAGTCAACGTCAGGAATAAAGTTTTTTCCCCTAAAAAGTTGTGACCTGAATTTCATGTCACAACTTGAAATTTCAAAATTTCAAAATTCCCACCATGTGCAGGTCTTCGCTATCTGAATTTTTTAATTTAATTAACAGGTTGTGATGTGAGATTCATGTCACAATATTTTTTATAAAAAAATATTCCCTGACTTTCCAGTATTAACGTTATTTTTTATATTTTATTATTAAAATTATGTAGTGACGTGATTATTACGTTCAACCTGCATAATCATGTCACAACTTTACTTCAGTGGAGAACTAGTGATTTTACATTATATATACTTTAGATACATCTATTATCTATCGTTGGCTTATTTTATTTTTAGCCTTATTTTATTTTAGGCTAAAGATGCTTACTAAAGATGAAAGTTTCTTCATCATTCAAAATTCCAAAACCAAGAATCAAGCAATTCTCTCTTTTATAAACTTTATCAAAAGAAAAACTCTTATAAAACCGAAGAATAACAGCACTCAGAAGCACCAAAAACTTTAGTGTCATAACAAGTTCTCTATAGCTAGCTCTAATAATTTGCATTTATCTCATATATTGTAGTAACCAGCAAGATGCCTTCTTATAGTACCTCAGTTTTGGCTCACTTGTTTGGCATCATTTCCATCATCCTTTTGCTTGTTTGGTTGCTGCATTATCGCGAGGGGATTGAATATGATTCTGATAATCCACTTCGTGTTTTCAATGTATAGAAACACGATATATGTTTCTAATGTCTTTGTTCTTTAATTATTTGTTTATTCTTTTTCATGAGTTTTTTCTCTATCGTGCAGGTTCACCCTTTTCTGATGTTCTTTGGGTTCATTTTCCTTGTTGGTCAAGGTAGGTATATATATATATATATATATATATATATATATATATATATATATATATGATAATGCAAGTTTTACTATACCAATATATTTGTTGAATGATTGATGAATTGGTGTTGTTAAATTTTTGCAGCAATAATGTCTTACCATACAGTACCAGGCACACATGAAACACAGAAGATTGTTCACATGATACTTCATTTCATTGCCATAATTCTTGGAATTGTTGGTATATGTGCGGTTTTCAAGTTCCATGATATGGTGAACTTGGTTGATGTTTACAGCCTCCATTCATGGATCGGCATTGGAACCTTTTGCTTGGTTGGCTTGCAGGTTTACAAAATCGTATCCCAATAATTTCAAAACTATATGCGGGAAACTCTGGTTTACGTCTGACGCTCATTTTTGCAGTGGCTTTTTGGACTCACGTTCATGTTTCCTGGATCAAGACAATCAAGGGCTTCATTGGCTCCATGGCACATAGCTGGTGGTAGAGCATTACTCTACATGGCAATTTGTGCTGCACTAACAGGCTTGATGGAGAAGACTGCTTTGTTGAAATTACAGGCACACCAAAGAGAATCTCATTTGATCAATTTCCTTGGTCTAGCAATTCTCTTGTTTGGTGTTTTTGTGGATGTAACTGTTGGTTTGGCCCATTTTGCTTGAAGTGGATTTCATTCCTCAAGAATCTTCACAGATTCGACTGCTCCAACATTCATTCTTTTTTATATGTATAAAAATATGTGTGGATTTTGTCATTGTGCTGTTCATTAACATGAAATGGTTTGTATAATTTTTTTCTAGCTTTGTTTTTTACTCGTGTGAGATATAAGTTGATTAATTTATGTCGTTGCTTTCAATTCTTACTACAAATTAAGTTGATTCGATGTGACTTTCTATAAATGAATATTAATTTGATTTATAATTAACAAATTAACTATTAACATATGCTATTAAACAATGTATAAGTGACTGTTAATTATTGATTAATCAAAATAAAATGGTTCAAGTAACAAACATATTTTTGGAGGGGAATTCTTTGGAAAGAGATTGATCACCTTATTTTCGCTTGGAATCTTTAACTACTACATAAAGTTATTGCCTTATATCAAACACTTAGCTTATTGTTAGTTAGAACTTACTAATTTATCAATGTTATCTAACTAGCTACTCCTCATTTCTCCTATATTAGGTCGAGATTCTATGTGTGGTTCAGCAGTTCCAATTGGTTGCGCCTGCCACATTAGTAACTTATTCATCCTTTCTATAACAGGACATTGAATAAAACTATGTATCTCCGTAATTTACTTCAATGTTTACTATATATTAAGGTCAGTTATACATCGACCATCTTCCGTGAACTAGTATATGAAATTATCAGAAGTTTTAACAATAGTCGATGATACAATTCAGAAGTAATAGTCTACAACTCTCCTCGATTTTATGATTGGTTGATGTTGATTCAATACAAAATATTTATTTTCCTTTTCTTTTTCGAAGCAATATTTAATGAGCTTTGATAAGTTTTAAATGGGTTCTTTTGTGAAATCACAATTGATTGGTGAATCAGTAATTGTGGAGGATCGTGGTGGATTTGAGTTTCTGATGCGGTAGAGAGGGAGTTAACTTCCAAGATTAACACTCCAACATTCAATTCAGTATGTTAGATAGAAGAATGAATGGAAATTGAATTTGAAATTGTGTCCATGAATTCTTTATGTCTCTTCTTTATATAACGATGTCGTTATAACAACCTGCTATTTGCTAGGCGTATGATGCAGAGAGTCGTTGAATGTATCTGGGACTTTGAGCACCTATACTCGTCTGTAGGATAGCTTTCATGTGCTCAAAAAAGTTCTAAGCAAATTACAATTCCTTCTGGGTGATCGGTCAAGGACCAGTATGGTCGATCCAGAACAAGTGCCCTCAAACCCTTGTTTATGCATGGTAGTGCAAGGGTTTGTCGCATTTGCCTCGTCTGCCGATGACTCTTTCAAATGCTTTGGAAAGTCAAGAGAAGGTGTTACGATTTCTTGGGAATCCGCACCTTTAATGTGTCTCATGCTCCAAATGTCTTTTTGGATGTATCCTCGTAATGATCCTTAGGAACTAGAACAGTTAAGTGTTGTTTGTAAGTGACTTGAAGCGTTGATAAGGTCTATTATGTCATCACATGGTTTTTGAAGAGTCATTTTCTCATTCTTTAGGGGTATCTTTCTAGTGTCAATGTTATCTCATTTCCTTGGTATTTCCTTTCCTTGTGCTTAGAGAAAATCACATCCATCATGATTCAAAAGTAAAAGGAACATGGTGTTTCGTGGACGAATTATGTTTATTTTTCAATTGTTTCTATCTTCGCTCAGTAGGGCAATCTTGATGATGCATTAATTAACGTTGGTCCATATTCAGATTGGGGTGTCTTGATGTAACACCCCGAGTTTTTAATTAATTATTTAATCAAATTTCTAAAGGTTTTATTTTATTTATTTGGTGGTAAAATATTTTATATGATTTATTTGGTAATTTTTGGGGTTTATTGAGATTTATTAGATTTTTTAGTTAAAGAAAATAAAGGAAACATGGTTAATTGAGAGATATTGAGATATGGGATAGAAAATGTAATTTTAATAAAATTGGTGTAGTAAGGAATGAGAATCCAGGAGTTGAGGGTAATGGGTGGAAATAATTAGAATAAATAAAATATTAGGTTTTATTTGATTTAAATAGAAAAGTGAAGGGAGCTAAATAAGTCAGTACGTGAAAGTTTGGAAAAGTGGAAAAGATGCAAGGGGTGGAGAACCTAGAAGAGAAAAAGTTAATAAAGCCATAACCAAACCTTAAATTATTGCTGGATAATTAAGGTAAGGGGGAATTACTTGTATACAGATGTCAGTTGCATGAAGGGTAGAGAGGGATCCTCACCCTCCTCTAGATTTTTCCATCCTTTCTCCATTGTTGAGGTTTATGTGTTCTTAATGAAAAATAGGTGATAAATGTTGCAATTGATGTGTAAATCGTGCTCTGTTTTATGTTGACAATTATACATGGTGTGTTGATATCAATCTGAATGTTGTTGTTGCCATTGATGTGTCTTTGGTTTTATGAACATAACCTTGGATTCATGATTGTTTTATGAAATTGGATTTTAATTAGTGCATATGTGATGTTTTAGTTATGGCATAATATGTATCTGTTGTGTTCTGGTTGATATGGATAATTGGGGGTTAAAATCAGAGCTTTGATAAGGCTCCAATGATTAAATCATGTTCTGGTTTTTTTGTAGGTTTGGACGCTTTCGCTTAGCTAGGGAGATCTCTTTTAGCGAGCCCTCGCTTAACGAAGAAGGGCCTCACTCAGCGAGAGAAGCTGCGTGGGATTTTTCTGGTTTTTGAGATTCTCGCTTAACGAGAGCTCGCCTAGCAAGTTGTATGGTTACTTAGCAAGCGAAGGCATAGGGGGTTGTTTTAGATCAATTTTTTGAATTGTTTTTTATTTCAGCGACCGTTAGTTGTGACTTATAATCATGTTGTGTGAGTGTTTGATTGTTGGTGTAATTATGTACTGATGAATATGATTATATATTGTTGATGTCCATGTGTGCAGTTTGGAGCATGACTACTTTGATTGCCTTATATGCTGTTGTGTACAATTTAAAGTGGAACTTGTAGTTTCGTTGCATTTGTATGTCATGCATCATGTGTGTCAGTGTTGAGAAGTGACGAGTCACTGGTCCAGAAGAGGGGATCATGATGAGTTTAGGTTTGAAGAGGAATCAGGTTCGAAGAGGAACCGTAGTGACTGGATAAATGTTAGTAAAGTAACTTTGATGTCCACAAAATGGTACCACATGCATTTAGTCGAGATGTTGTTCACATTGCATACAAACTCATTGTGACTATTTTATTGTTATAAATGAAGTGTGCGATTGATAACTGTTTTGAATATGCTACCCCTGCTAAGTTTTGCACCGCTAATATATTTGAGTGTATTCTCACCCCTTTCTTTTGTTTGTTGTGGTATTTTGTATGTTGTGGTACAAATACTCAGAATGAGAAATAGTTGTTGTGAGTTGGAAGATGTCATTGAGACTTTTCTTTGTTTATTTGTCGTTTTGCGTTATTTTAGTTTTGCTTGTCTGATATATAACACCGGGAATAGGTCGTTTCATTAATGTCTGAGTTGAAGTTTTTTGAATTATTTATTTAATCAAGTACCTTAAATTTGTTGAGATATTTTAATAAGTATAGTTTATGTTAAATTTTGTTGTCGTGTTTTATGTTTTAACTTGAAGAAGTATGCATGTTAAGTGTGTATAATATCTTAATTGAGAATATTATTGTTTTATCTTTTATAATTAAAGATTTGGGGTTTTAGGAAGTTACATAGTCAGTATGATAGCCTGGTTGGTCCATTTAGCCATATTTTTGTGATTTTATTTATACCCTAGTATACGACATGTGTATAAACTCTACCGATGCATGTTTCTCCTAATGGTTGTTTGCTAGTGTGTAAAGAAATGACTAGAGGTAGAAATGATGAAGTGATTGTTGATGCTTTGGAATCCATGGCTCAAGTGATAGCGCAGGCGGATGAGACTTTGTAGGCTCAGTAGAATCAACAGGGAATGGTTGATGAATTTTGTGGGCTGAGTAAGTTATAGAGGAACAACCCGCCTATTTTTAAGGGAAGGTATGATCCTGAGGGTGCGGAGAGTTGTCTTTAGGAAATTGAGAAGATCTTTCGAGTTATGTGATAAGCAGAAAGTGTTGTTTGAGACATATATGATGTTTGAGAAGGCCGAATATTGGTGGAATAGTGCTCGTTAGAGAATGGAAGCAGCAGGTACTGAAATCAATTGGGAGAATTTCGAGAAAGAGTTTCTAGAGAAGTATTTTCAAACTGATGTTCGTAGTAAGAAAGAGATCGAGTTCTTGTAGCTGAAGCAAAGAAACGTGACTTTCAATTTGTCAAAGGAAGAAGAGAGTGGACATTGTTTTTGTTTCTTTAATTTTTTGTTCATTTGTTTTTTTTTTTGAAATTTTTGGATCTGAGATTTTGAAGTGAGAGATAAAGATGATTGGATAGGGTGTGAAGTGGCACTGTTTGGTAGGTTACTGAGTGAGGGCCTCGTCCAATTTTTCTTACACTAGTACATATACTAGTAAGACTAGGTTTTTTGATGAAAAAATGGTCAAATGGCCTTTACTGATTTATTTGGTATTTAAATACAATTAAAATTAAAAGAATAAAAATAAATTCATCAAAATAATATTTTGTTTTAATTTTTTTCAAATAAAAAATGGAACTAGAATGAATGGAAAATGAATAAAATCGAACGAGCGAACAGTTGAAAAATAAAAATGAACACATTAAAATGATCCACACACAACAAAGTCAGTAAAATAGGCCGGAAATGATCAAAATCACAACTAAAACTACCTGGATAAACAGGCTCTAACTGATTAAATGTGATTGCAAACAGAGTCGAAAAAATAAAGCGATCACACCAACATGACCTATGTGCAACGTAGATTCGTAAAAGAGTTCAATAAAGACAAAAATTTAAAATATTTCGCTCATAAATCTCGTGTGCAATGGCGAATCAACTTTAGTAATCATTCTAAACCCAGAAATTTGATTTTAATCGACCTCGGGTCAACCTCGCA